GTAAGGGTAGAAGCGAAGACCTAAGTTTTATTAGTTCCTTAAAATAGTTTGGTTCAGTCATATAAAGCAACATGGTTATGGGTTTTTCTCTTGAAATAAAACTTGCATTTAAGTGTGAAATCTTAAAAAAATGGTTGCTCAGAAGGGACAAGGACACTTTGGCAAGATGTATCAAAAAACATTAAGTATCAAGTCAGTCAGTGGGTAAACATTTATTAAGCACCTACAATGTACCAGTCACTGTGCTAAGTGCTGGGGACACCAAAAAAAAAGGGCAAAAGACAATCCCTGCACTCAAGAAGACTACAGTCTAATGGGATACTACATGCAAGTAGCTATGTACAAATAAGATATATATCTATAGATATCTACATATCTAGACATTGTTAACGCTATCTATAGATATAAATACACACATACAGAGGACAAATGGGAGATATTGGATAGATGGAAGGCACTAGCATTAATGGGGATCAGGAAAAGTTTCATATAGAAGGTGGCATAGGATTTTAGCTGGAAAGGAAGAAAGGAAGAAAGGAAACTAGGGAAGCAGAGAAGCAGAGATGAGGGAGAGTATTCCAGGCTTGAGGAACAGCCAGCGAAAAAGCCTGGAGTCTGGAGATGGAGTGTCTTGTTAGAGAAACAGCCAAGAGGCCAATGTCAGTGCATTACAGTGTATGTGGAAGGGGGTAAGATATAAGAAGACTGGAAAGGTAGGAGGGGGTTAGATTGTGAAAGGCTTTCATTGCCAAATGGATTTTATATTTGGTTCTGGAGGTGATAGGCAGACTTGTACAAGCAAGGAAATCTGCCAGGGGTTGGGAATAACAAAGATAAAAAAAATTATATAGTCACTGCCATCAAGGAATTTACATATTATTAGGGAGACAAGTTTCATGACTGTTCTGCAGATGGAGCTGTCTGTTTTATTTTAGCCACTTCCTCTAATCTAATCCTTGTATCCTATTTTGCTCAACAATCAGCAGAGCCCTGGAAATATGGCCAGCCTCTGTTTGGCAGAAGGAGCAGCAGTGGATTGGGGAGAAGCAGATTTTGGTTCACTCTAAGGAAAAATATCTTAACAGTTAAAGCTCTCCAAAAGTAGAATTGACTGTAGTCCTTCCCCTAGCTTGAAGGCTTTAAGTAGAGATTGAATGACCATGACTGTTGATTAAGGATGTTGTAAAGAAATATGGGTTGAGGTATAAATTATACTATCTGGCCTCTGAAGTTACTACTACTTCTGAGATTCTATATTTGAAAAAAAAAAAAAAGAAATTATGTAAGTGAAGTGAGATCTTTGGTTGAAGGAGCCTGAGATTCAGTCCAAGTCAGCACTTAAGCCCTGAGAGGAAAGCTGTTCTTTCATTATAGGAGGTATATGGAGTATGGAACTATGGAATGACCTTACATTGCTGACATCCCATGGGGTGTTTTGAGAGATGCTAGTGGCCATCTATATTAACCATGAAATCTGCCGGATTCTTATTCTGTTTATAAGTTTTGTAGTGTGATCTGAGGTCATAGAATATTTTGTTTCATTGATTCTTAGCTACTTGGCTGTAGTGCTTGTCATCCTCTTGGCATTGGTTTTCTCCAGTTTACTTTACATAAAAGTCAATAAGTCAGTCAATAAACAATTTTTTTTTTGGTGCCTCCTATGTTCCAGCCCCTGTGTTAATTGCTGGGGACACAAAGAAAGGCAAAAGGCAATACCTGTTCTCAAGGAACTCAAAATCTAATGAGGGAAATAACATTTAAAGAACTATGCACAAACTCTATACAGGATAAAATGGAAAGAATTAACAGAGGGAATGCATTAAAATTAAGTGGCATAAGTAAAGGCTTCCTGTAGGAGATTGAATTTTAGTTGGGATTTGGAGAAAGTTGAGGAAGAAGGAAGAGGGAGATCAGGAAAGGGAGCATTCTGTGTATGGTGGGGCAGCCAGTGAAAATGTCCAGTCACAAGATGGAGCTATTGAGAAACAGCAAGGAAGTCCACTGTCTCTGGGTTACCAAACAGATGGGGATGGTGTAAGGTAAGAAGACTGGAAAGATAGTTTGGGCATAGGGCTCATGTTATAAAGGTTAAGGATATAGAAGAGGGTTTTGTAGCCAATACTTACCTTTGCAGATACCCCTAAGAGGTAGAATGGTATATTGCTACCATTTTATGAAATAAATGGAACCATTAAAAGATTAGAAGATGGGGTCCCAAGACACATCACAGATAATAAGCCTTGCTAACTTTTGACTCTGAAGTTGGCTCTCTTTATCAGACTACTTAGCTTATGCTCTACTGTTAGCTGTTATTCAATCCTCCTTGGCTCTTGGGCTAGAATAGAGTATAGGAAAATGGTTTCCTTTCCTCTGTGTGGTTCTCACACAACCACCAATAGGTATTTATCAGTTTCCTATTATGTATCAACACATTGGAAAGTACTTTAAGAGCTCTAAAGAGGTATTAGCAAACTCCCTGTCTTCAAGGTTGGAGGTATAAGACTAACCTGTAGCAATTAGAACATTATGCAGGAGTGGGAAACCTGTGGCCTGGAGACCACATGTGGCCTTGTAGATCCTTGGGTGTGGCCTTTCAACTGAGTCCAAGTTTTACAGAGCAAATCCTTTTATTAAGGGACTGGAGGCCTCTGGCAGGTTCCCCACCCCTTAGTACTGAACATAAATACAAAAAGAATTCAGTTAAGGCAAAGGCCATTGTGGGCTGAAGATTTTTTGGAAAGTTTTTAGTGGAAGAATAGCAACTTGGGATGATCTGCATTATGAAGAATGATAAGGATTTGGCTAGGCAGAGGAAAAAGAGGGAGGACATTCTAAGCAAGCAGAACAGTATAGGTTGAAAGAATAGAGGTAAGGGATGTACATGAATTATATCCTAACTCTGCAGAAGGTGCTTGCTGAGAGCAGTGGGAAATCAGATGGATTTGTAATGGTGTTATCTTCTTTGGGTTTCAGTTTCCTTATCTGTAAGGTTATTTCCATTGCAATCACTTGTGTGCTCTTGCTCTTTCTATACACACACACACACACATATACACACACACCATACTATAAACATAGATGTATGTATGTATACACACATTCACGGACACACAGAGGCAAGTATGCAGGCAGCAGGCTGGCCTTGGCTAGAAAGGGCTTTGAAAGTTAAACAGAGCAGTTTAGACTTGAGTTGGTAGATTTTTGAGCAGAAATAGTTTGATTGTTTCTAGATTTTAGCAAACCCCATCACCAGGTCTTCTGTTTAATTTTAGGGCTACCAACTACACTTGCCGTTCTCAACCTCACCACCCCCTATTTTGTACTTTTTTTACCTTTTGTGGATGTGTAGTATGCTTTTTATTGTCTAAATAGTAGTGGAGGGTACTTTATAAAAGAGATGCTATAATTATTTTCAGTGAAATTAGAGTTGAAGCAAGGAAAACAAATCAAATGGAAGTGAGTAGGGAATGGAAAAAGGCCATATGTACCGAATTAGTTGTTAGGTACCTTATCCTGTGCTACTTGTTAGCAAAAGGAAATGGAACATTTCTCAAGTGGCCTATTAAATTACCTGTATTTTTTTTTTGTACTTTTTAAAATCATTCAATGATCTAGTACATATTAAGCACCTACTATGTATAAGGCCTTGTGCTTGCTGGGTCCTGGGTATACAAAGGCAGAAATGTGTCGAGAGTCTACCTAGTAGCTTCCCACGATAGAAATTTGACTAGCCTGTTTCAAATATGGCATGGCTATTATCACCTAATTGAGAATGAAGAAACCTGGATTCTTGTTCTGCCCTTGCCTTTAATGAATTAGCTATGTGATCTCATGCAGGTTGAGCTTCTGTTCTTTTAACTGCAAAATGAGTGTTCCTGATTAAATGTTCTTTAATGTTCTTTCATCTCTAAAATTCCAAATTTATAATGTTGTATCTATGTGTGTATGCATGTATGTAGACGTACATATATATGGATGTATTCATGTTATCTCAAATACTTTATTAGTACGGATTAGTTTATCAGATTATCTGAATATTTATATTGGGCATGAGGGATGGGGTACAGGATAAAGAAATAGAAAAGAGGAAGTTGAGAGTGATGGGATACTTTAGGACAGGGGTTTAAAACCTTTTTTGTGTCATGGGACCCTTGGTCTGGTAAAATCTATGGACCCTTTCTTAGAATATATAAATTTTAAAATACATAAAATAAATAGGAAATTCTAAATTATAGTTAGATATTATTAAAAATAAAGATGTACTTTTTTTCTTTGTCAAAGTTCATGGTCCACCTGAAATCTATCCATAGACCTCTTGGGGGTCCATGGACCCCAAGCTAATAACCCCTGCCTTAGGGGGAAAGGAAAGTAGGGAAGAGATGAATGGAAAATAAAGAGGGGCCTCCTAAAGGTAAGAAGAGTGGTACTATAGGCAAACTTTTATTTCACAATTTTATTTAAGGTCACCCCTAGGCTTAGTGATATTAGTAATTTTATATGAGAAAAACCTAGCTTGGTTTTCTCTGGAGAAATAGGTTCAGGTGGAAGGTTGTATCTCCTGGGGAAAACTGTACTCTCAGCAGAGATTTCACTAAAATCAATTATAAGAGCGCTGAGACATTTTTGGCTTTTTGTCTGTCTGGGTTCTAAAGAAATTCCTTGATTTCTGACTTGCATCTAAACCAGGTCTGCTGAATTTCCCTTTTTTGTGGGGGGGTAAATAATTGTTTCTCCATTATTTGATCCTGTGAAGACCACAGTTCAGTGCTAGTTAAATTGTAAAGTGATGTTTTCTTTCAGGCTCTTCGTGTACCTGCAATTTCTGCCTTATCATATATAGGTGTCACTTGGTGTTCCTGGTGACTGAATATAGAATTTCATGTTTTTTGTTTAGATATGACTATGGATCTTTAGGTATAGATAAGGGTACACATATGTACATGTGTATATGTATATATGAATATACCAGATAACTACAGAGCTCAATAACCTTAGAACCAATGTCACTAGCCACTAAAGAGACCAGAAAATGCCTCCTGGAGGAGATGGTACATGAGCTAAGTCTTTAAAGGAACTCACAATTTCTAAAAGTTAGAGGTTTATGTGGGGAAAGTATTCCAAGCATGGGAGCATTTCAGCCAGTGCAAAAGCATAGATACAGGAGATGGAATGTCTTTTGCCAAGAACAGCAAATAGGGCAATGTGGCTGGATCATAGTGTGAATTGAAGGAAGTTTAATATAAAAAGATGGGAAAGATAGGAAGGGGTCAGGTTGTAAAGCACTTTGCCAAGCAAAAGATTTTATATTTTATCCTGGATAATAAAGGAATCATTGAAGATTATTAAAGGGGGAGGTTTGACATGGTCAGACTTACACTTTAGGAAAATAACCCTAGCAGCATGATTGGGTCCATATGAGTGGAGAGAAGGGTTATATTTGAAAGATGCTGAAGAGAAAGATATTGCAAATTTTGCAACTGATTAAATATGTATAGAGTGATCAATACAGAAGTCAAGGATAACAGGTTCCAAATCTGGGTGATCAAGAAGTTTGGAAGAGGGAAGGATATAGAGAGAAAGATAATGAATTATCTTTTGGATATGTGTTGACTTTGAAATGCCTACAGGACATCCACTTTGAAGTGTCCAACCTGAATTTTGTGATTTGGAGCTGAAGCTCAGGAGAGAGACTGGATAAATCGATATTGGAATCATTTGTATAGAGTTGATAAGTGAACTCATGGATGCTGATGAGATTATCAAGTGAGAGGATAGAGAGAGAAAAAAGGTGGCTCTGGAGAGACTTGGGGGATACTTAACAGTTAGTGGGCATGATAATATAGATGATTTAACATGTCTAAAACTAAACTCATTATCTTTCCCTCATAAACCCTCCCTCCTCACCCCTCCCACATACTATAGAGAGCAACATCATCCTCTCATCCCTGAAGATCACAACCTAGGAGTCATCCTAGACTCTTGTCTCTCTTCCTCCTGCCTGCTCCCCCTCCCAAATCTAATCTGTTTCTAAGACCTATTCTGTATTTGCAACATGTCTTGATTATGCCCCTTTTTTTTTTTCTCCAACACTGCCACCACTTTGGTACAGGATCTTATTACCTCATACCTGGACTATTGTAATAGCTTGCTGATGCGTCTGCTCGCCTTAAGTCTCTTCCCACTCTAATCCATCCTCTGTTCAGCCACCAAAGTGATTTTCCTAAATTACAGGTCTGTGTGCTTTTATAGCCCAAAGAGCTATAAGACTGTGTATACCCTTTGACCCAGCAATACCACTGCTAGGTCTGTATCCCAAAAAGTTTGGAGAAAAAAGGAAAGGGCCTATATGTACAAAAATATATATAGTAGCTCTTTTTGCAGTGGCAAAGATTTGGAAATTGGGGGGGTGCCCATCAATTGAGGAATGACCAAACAAGTTGTGGTATATGATTGTGATGGAATATTATTGTACTATAAGACATGACAAGCAGGATGATTTCAGAAAAACCTGGGAAGATTTATATGAACTGATGCAAAGTGAAGCGATCAAAAGCAAGTGAACATTGTACACAGCAGCAATATTGTATGATAATCAACTAAATTAGCATAGCATCTCTGATAAAAACAATGATCCAAGATAGTTCTGAAGGACATGTATTGAAAAATGCTGTCTATTTCCAGAGAGAGAACTAATGAAGTCTGAGTGAAGATTGAAGCATAATTTTTTTCACTTTCTTTATTTTTCTTGCTTTTTTTTTTGGCAACATGGCTAATATGGAAATGTTTTGCATGATTTCACATGTATAATTGATACCATATTTCTTGCCTTCTCAATGAGTGGGGAGAGGGTGTGAGGGAAGGAGAGAATTCAGAACTGACTACTTAAGAATGAATATTAAAAATAAACAAAAAATAACCTTGTACTTCCTCGAAAAGCTACAGTGTCTCACTCAATTCCCCACCTTATCATATCTGAGTCTTCCTACTTGACTTTCAAGGTCCCACTCTTCTTTTTCCCTACAATCTTGTAGAACTGTACAATTCTGTACAATTGTAGAATCTACAGTTCTTTTGACTTTCTAAAAGATTCCTTCAATCCAGCTATGGTAATCTCACTATCTTCTTCAACTATCTTGTTCATTTTCCTACCTCCACTCATTCCTTTTCTCTTTCTCCTCTGTTGCAGTATGTGTATCTTACTTGCCCAGCCTGGGAAGCCTTCTTTCTCTAACCCTACATTATTTTGATTTATTCTCTTTTCCCCTTAATACTCAAGTGATCGCTTTCTACTTTATTATCAGAACACTTAGGATATACAGCTTTAATTTAGTCTTATATTTTCTCAAGTATTTATGTTATTTCCATATCTAAATTGTAAGCTCCTTTAGGTCAGGGACTGTGTCACATATTCTTGTTTTCCTTCTCTTTATGACACTACCTCCTCCCCCAGAGCTTCTCAGCGTTAGTGGAGCACTTGTACACCATAGGCATTAAATTTGTGCCTGGTGAATGAAAGAGGGTAGAAGGAAACTAGCAATTGTTAGGCACCTACTATGTGCCAGGCATTGTCCTATATGCTTTACAAATATCTTATTTAATCCTTACAACAACCCTGGGAGTTAAATGGTATTATCATCGTTACTTTACAGTTGAAGAAACTGAGGCAGATAGAGTTTGGGTGACTTACCCAGAATCAAATAGCTAGTAAGATTCTGAGGCTGGATTTGAACTTGGGACTTCCTGACTCCAGGCCCAGTGCTCTATTCATTGTACCATCTAGGTACTTATAAGGTTGGGAAATAAAGATGTAGTTGTTCTTATTCCCTAAAGAATAGGGCCCTTTGTTGAGGCTGCTATATCATCAGAGTTGAGTGAGATAGCAAAACCTAGGGCATGATTTGGAGTAGCCAGGTGTATCCCCACACCACTCATGTGGGTTCTTATGTTTTTCCTAACAGGAAGATGAAGTGGTTCTCCAGTGTATTGCTAACATCCACAAGGAGCAAAGAAAGTTCTGTTTGGCAGCTGAAGGACTTGGGAACCGCCTGTGTTTCTTGGAGCCAACTTCTGAAGCTAAGGTAAGGTTTACCTTTCTTTTCCTATCTCTTCTCTTCCCTTCTCAGTTAGAGAGTACCCACATTAGGTACCAGAAAAAAACTGTTTTCTTCCTCAGACTTGAGAATGGGGTGCTAGAAAATGGCTTTGTCTCCTGGTTAGTGATGGAAACAGGAATGTGATGCAACAGTGTGAAGTATGGGAGGCACTCTTGGTCCTCCCAACATTCAGTAGTACACCAGTGACTTTCTGGGAAGTTATTCATAGAATCTTGGTTTTTTTGAGCTAGAAGGCATCAAATAACCCCCTTTCTAGATGAAGAAATAATCACTCTGGGCTTATTCTTATCAATCACTCTGCCCCAAACATGTCCCCACTTCACTTTTCCCTCCCTCCATCTCCCTTTGGTTAATTTGTAGAACTGTGGAATATAGTGTTCTCTGCTTTCAGATATGAGAGGCAGTGTTGCCTAGTGGATAGAAAGTTAGCCTTGAAGCCAGGAAAGCCTGGTTCAAGTTCTGTCTCTGACACATACTAGTTGTGTGACCCCAGGCAAGTCACTTAACACCTTACTATTCTAGGCAACTCTCTAAGATTGTAAATTGTAGAGAAAGTTCCAAACTACATTAGTAGAGAGAGTTCCTTATATTAATTATATCACAGGATCAGTTTCTATCAGATGTAAATTTTTGATATGGTTATTTGTAAATATATAATTATGATATTTGATATGCTAATGATGTAGTTATCTGCCATATATGACCTAATGGGAGGGAAATACAAGACTTTCTTTTATGATGACTTATATGTCTATGGTTTTTATTACTGAATTTTTTTCATCATCTATCTTTTGTCTACAACTCAGTTTTTGTTATTACTGTTTGAGGTGGATATAAGTATTCTACATTTTAATGATACTCCCATTCCTGTATGTCTTGAAAGCCCAATTGAGTGCCTATTTCCTCTACAAGCACTTCTTGGGCTGTGGAAGAGGTGGAATACCTTACCACATTTAAGCTGACTAATAAACCCTTCTCTCAGTCAAATAAGTATTTACATATATTTATCTATATATCACTTAAGAAAGTTTGCAAAAAAATAGACCACCTGCCTATGTGAATTTATGTGATCCATAGTTCTAAATAATGCTATCCCCTCCTAATAGCCTTGTTTCTTTGTTTTGCTTGATGGCTTATTATCCTATGAGTACCTTGATATCTCTCTATAGTCACAGCACTGATATGCACAGAACATATTAAATAAAATTAAAGAGGAAAGAAAGAAATGGACTACATTGTATCCTGTTAAAAGCTTATTGCCGGGCAGCTAGGTGGTACAGTGGATAGGGCACTGGCCCTGGAGTCAGGAGGGCCTGAGTTCAAATGTGGCCTGAGACTCATAACACTTACTAGCTGTGTGACTGGGCAAGTTTTTTATTATATGTGTGTATCTATATATACACACACATATATATATACACGTGTGTGTGTGTGTATATATATATACGTATATATATATATGTAAAACACAGCTATCACAAGTTCATGAGATATGCATTGCAACTGGATTTATTACAAGAGACATGAACATGTGTATGGAACTTCAGCTGCAAGCAAGGAGTTCACAATCCAAGCACCAAGAAGTGGTACCATAGGGTTTATATGGCAGGCCTCTTCAATTTTGTTAATCCCACTATTGTTTTCTCCATCATTGAATCCAGATCTTGCCTCACTGGTGCCTTTTTAAAATTTCAGACTTCTAACATGAAGCCTTGCTTGCTGAGACCAAACCTTAAGTTCTTTTGTGGCTTGAAGACCATAAGTTTCCTTCACTCCACTCCTTCTACTACTTAATATCAACACACCATTTTCCAAAGTATTTAAAATGAATTTACTATGAAGCACTGTAGGGCAGGGAGTTGTTGCAATAGTGGATGACAAGATTCATAGTCCATAGTTATCAATATTCTTACAGTTGATTCCTGGTCCTTTAACATATTAAAAGATATTTGCATCCTATCGTGTTTTCTCATGCCTAGAATTCTTTTTGGTCCATGTGTTGATATTAACTTATTTATAGCTTCATGGCTATGAAATTGCTTGGCCACAGCTATCCCTCAGTCTAATTAGTCTCAAAGTGTGTCATGAACAAAATAGGAGCTTACTAAATGTTAGTTGAATTGAATCTAAAAAAGAACACAAGTATTAAATGTTTGACACAGGAACATGAAGCACATATTGACAGAGAGAATCTAAGACTTTCTTTTAAATATTGATGTGCCATCATATCTTATCCCTTAATTTAAGCACAAGGGTTTGCTTTCTTAACTGGCTTGTATGGGATTGTGGCCAAAGACAGAAGAGCAAATCTAGAAACTTTATTAATGTACTTGATACATGTAAGGGTAATCTGAACTGTGGTAGAGGAACACTAAGTAAACCATCACTGGGACAGAGTTGAACATGGTCAGAATTCGGAGCAGTATGGCATGAACTGTATAAGCAAAATGAGAGTAGCAGTAAAGAAAACATGAGGTGACCAGACTATGGAAGCCTGATCTCCTGAGGAAGCTGTTTGACTTTTTATGACATTCATCTCTTATGCCTAGAAGATATTCAGGCCTCCTTCCACCTTATACTTTGCAGCTATGAACTACGGGCTGCTTTGGTCCCAGGAAATTGTGCTGATATTCAACAGAATATTACCACTCAAAAGAAATGGGCACAGATCTAAAAGAAATCTTTATTTCATTAATAATTACTGAGCGCTGTCACTAGAAACTGGGCCATAGAGGGAATTTTATAATATGAACATCATTGAAGGTTACTAAGTGCCCCCTAGGCCCATTTAACAAGAGTGATTTGTTGAAAAATGAATATTGCTGTTTTTCCAATGCTTCACATTGCGTCATTTATATGCAACATTGTTTCCCCACCGATGACTCCAGTTAAATACTCCTAGAACTTGTCAAATAGTCCTGAAACTTCTAGAAATTTTCTAAATCCTAATTGTTCAATGATCTCAAAATGGCCCCAGTAAAAAGTGGGTTCCATCTAACATATGTTGTCAGGTAAACAACATAGCTTCATTTCATTTCTGTGATAAATAGGCCAAAGCCATTTTTCAGAATGAGTGAAAACTCTTCCCTTGCTTGATCTCTGTTATTACTATTTTAGTTTAATATTCCTGTGGTCTATTATTTTGATGTTTCATTGTCTTTCCCTCACAAAATATGTTCACATGAATGGAAGATTAAAATTGCTGTTTTATACGTATTTTAGAGAGAAGTGAAGTGACTTCTACATAACAGTCTAGGAACAAGTTAGGAACTGATTCTAGTTAGGAACTAGTTAGGAACAATAGTTATTTTTAGAGTTTATTGAGCCACAGCTGCAACATAAGATATTTTTCCTTTGCTGGTTCAGTTGTATTTTAACTGGGATATTCCAAGTTATTTTGGGAAAAGCTATATTTAAAATGTCTTTTCCAGTTATTTCCATAAACAGTAGTTCAGATGACTACTTGTCATTATTGCTGAAGAATGAATTCTTGGTCAGGTGCAGGTTGGACTAGATGGTTTCAGGGGTCAGCTCCTAGACAATCAATAAGATAGATTAGCTATGCCCTTGAAATCTTGTTATTGTTAAGAAAGTGGTGAGATTTTTGACACCAGTCTAAAGGATAGACATAAGGGACACTTTTCAGTTCTACTCTTCTAACTTGCTTCACGTTTTACCCTCAGATTATATCGTTTGCCCCCCTTAGTCATTCATGGATTGCCTAGATCAGACATCTGTGTTTCTTTAATTATTTCTTCCAGTTTTACATTTACTCTGATCTTTTTTTTTTAACAAGTGGGTGGTCTGATTGTATTCAGATGGCTGATTCAGAATGATTCCCATAAGCCATTTCTTACCTATTAAAATAATAATTTCATTTTTATTTTGCAACTTGAGCTATGTCCATTATATTTTGATCATTTTCTTGAACAAAATATTCATGACAAATAATGTGAAGTATCTTTATAGTCAACAAGTCTTTGACCTATCTCATTCCTTAGTCTTGAATCATATTTTCCAACCTGTCTTTTTGCCATCCTTGCTAGTTTCTACCTTTTCACTGAAATATTGAAGTAAAAGAGTGTATGTTAATTTTATTTGGAAGAACTTCTCAATCTTTTCTTGGAATTTCTCTAATTCATCTTCTGCAGTTGAATAGTAGTATGTTTGCAAATATGTATCATGAGTACCTCAATATGACAGAACAAAATGCTGCATAAATTATGTTTCTTACAACACAATTCAAAGAATTATCAAAGATAAGTGATAAAAAGGATGTCATCAAATAGATGAGTGGTCATGCAACAAGAGCAAAGAATAATCAGTGAGTAGGCCATGTGCTCTATTGATATCTTGATATAAGAAAAGTTGAGGAAGGCTCTAAATATGTTGGGTAGCTGCTCCATAAAGGATTTATGAGAAGATATGTTACGTATCAGTCCCATAATCTGGGTAAGCATAGAGGGACTATGAACTGCACTGCTGGAGGGAATAACCACTTCAGTGAGATTACAAATGTATTTGAATATTTGAATGCATAAAAATGTTTTATTTTTATGTATACAAGATAGGCAGTGATATTGTGAAGTTTAAATGAGATAATGGATGTAAAAAAAGTTTGCAAACCTTAAAGCACTATATAAATGCTAGTTATTATTGCTGTTATTATTATTATTAGCTTAAAGTAACCAAGTTTCCTATCTGGAAATGACTTTGTTCCTGAGCCTTATGCTCCACCCTTACTGACTTCAAGCAGTGTTTTTAGAGCAATACAGGGGTGTGCTGGTAAACATTTAACATTTGGGTTCTTTGGTCAAAACAATGTATGCTCACACACTTTTAAGTTTAATCTGCATTATTAACACTTAAGTCTAGACAATCAACAAAATAATAAATCAAGCCCTGATTTGTGACGATTGAGATTTCTAAGATGTAAATGCCCACACTGAAAATTTAATACTAAG